AGACTATGACATCATCAATAACACCATATCGCACCATAGGGCACATGATACTTAGTAATCCTTACCCAGCTAGGTACCAGGGGTCCATTACCGGTCCCTGGGGGGTTTTCCCTCATGTATATAAGGCAGCATCCTGGGGCACCCTGTCCCCCAGTTCTATTCACTTCGTTGTTGCGCTTAACAGCATTACCTCCCCATACTTAAGTGCTATTATCTCCCCCCCTCAATATCAAGCTATAAGGTGGGTTTGTAGGTTTTGTGATAGTTGAATAGAACTGCTTTAAGGTGCACTGGGCCCTGGCAAGGGTCCCTTGCTACCTGCTTTGTTACAGGGCCTATTGGTCGTTGCTATGCCCCTATGCTGCAAAGTGTAAGGTGGCCTTTTCATGTGGGTTCTGGGGGTTATGGTTTGTCAACTGAAAAGTGGCAATACCGTTCTGTGAAGCACCTACCTTTATTGGTCAGGGTTGAACACTTGGTGTCAACATGCTGAGCTTTTTGCCGGTCCCTAGGCGTAAGGGGAGGTTGCTGCCTTATGGGCAACATGCTGGAATGTGGTTTACCATTCTATGAGGCTTTAGGGCCTACAACGGATAACCAGCATGGGCAGCCTTAGGGAGAGTGTAAGATTCTCCCAAAACCACTTGCAGCAGGCGTGGAAACCTGACTGAGATCTGTATTCCCCCCTCCCTACCTGCTGAGAGAGAGCAGGAGGACGCCGACACGAAGCACGACCAATGGACCCTGTAGTATAGCACATACCCTTTTCTTCGCTCTGAAAAGAGCCAGCTGAAAAGCTGTTATCTAATCCCCTCTGCCGTAGCCATGCCGAAAGCCAAACCTTTCATTGTCACTGCCAAGCACGAGCCGACAGGCCTGCTTGAGCGCATCGCCATCCACAACACGCACAAGTTCGACGACGTTGGCAAACCTCGCCGAATTGTACGCCCCACCATACAGCCACTCATTCGCCGCCCCTTCAACCCTGAACGCGCTGAAAAAGCGAAACATGACATCGAGGAGCTTGCACTTTGTGCGCATCTCTTCAAGAAGCAACAGTTGCTCGATCGTATCTCCGACCCCGCTCCCCCCCTCATCGACCGCATCGATATGCAGGCGGGACCCTCCTATGAATATGAACCACCCAAGCCGCTCCCCGACATTCACTTCCAGCGCACAAAGATTCTGTTGCGCACATCCGAGTACAATGAGATGTTTGCCGCTACAGCCGACAGGCTGGAGCCGGTGTTCGCTCGGATGGAAAAGGAAGAAGGGAGCTTGGAGCCAGGGAGGATGGGTGATGGGTTCGACGAGTTGTATCATGGGCTGGAGAAGAAGGCACGCCGGCTTACCAACAGGCACTGGAGAGTTATCAAGCGCGACCTGAAAAGGATCGGGCATGTCTCCTTTGAAGACTTAAGCAGTCGCCTGCCGGAGATTTGTAATGAGTTGGCTAGCCTAAACATCACCTTCAAGTATGAAGTGTAGATAGTGGAATAAAGATTGGCAATCTTTCTGGCATAATTGGCTTATATGGCATGAGGAGGAGATCTCCTTCGCTTCACTTTTTTCTTTCAATCATAAGTGAATACGGGCTAATCACTACAATAAGAAATGGCCCCATACATCCCCTTCGTTCCGACCGAAGCATTCGCTATCGCCACGGAAGAAGAGTGGCGCAATGCAATCTTCCAGAACGTGAACGTCTCTGACGAACAAGCAGCTCTGCTGCAAACGGTTACTGCGAATGCCGCAGAGTCGACCACTGGACGAGTCAGAGACTGGATTGGTCGCCTGACCTTAGAAATAAGCAGGCACTACGACGGATACCTTCAGAGCCTCCTTCGAGAGGTGGAATCCCTGCATATCACGGTCCAGAATCAGCAGGCGCTAGTCGATTCCTACAAGCGACAAGTTGATGCGCTACCTGCGTCAACAGGTAGTGGTCATTCCCGTCAACCTAAGATTGGGGAGCCTCCGGCCTTCAAGGGCAGTGAGGATAAGACCAAGCTTGAGGAATGGCTGGACCTGATCGTACTGTGGTGCGAGCAT